TTTAGCTTTAATTAATAAATTTTCATATAAAATTGATGTAATAAATCTTCGCAAAAAAATTATTCAATATTTATTTCCCCCCCCCCCCCCCCCTTATATATTACAGATATAAAACATCTCATACAATAATATTATCCCATTCAAAATTAATTGTAGATTTGACATAATGGTTTCCCTAGCCTTTTCCAATAATACTCTTTACCATCTGATTTATAAATTATAAATTTTGACTCATCTGACCAAATACCTAACTTCAATCTTCAACTGTTCATGATTTGTATTTTTTTGCAAATTTCATCCTTGCGATTTCAAAGATATGATTTTTGCACTTAACTCTTACACTCATTCCATTTCTATATGAGGTTCTCTTATTTTGCATTCACTAACTTCAATTTGTTCTTCTATTTTTAATTTTTTTTTGAATTGCAACATTACCTGTTATAATTAATCTCAAAACTTTTTATTCATATTAGCCAGTTAAGAGTCACAGACGTCTAGATTTAGGCTGGTCTTTATTGTTACCAGTTTTATCTTTATGTTGATTGCTTCTTATAACAGTTGATTGTGAAACATTTTCCTTGTTTGCTATATAGCGGGAGGGAAATCTTTCTTCAAAAAGGGCACAAATCTTAGCTCTTTTTTCAGCAGAAAGATAAATTATAGATATTTTATAAAATTACAAAGAGGCGAAAAATGCTATAAGGCATCTTTTTTATATGTGCCGCATAGTTGTTTTGAAGCAAAAAAAGATCGCGTAATAAGTGTTGATGTTTATTCTTAAATCAATAAAAAGAAATGCATCGCCACTTTGGCGAAAGATTCATAACAAAAATAAAAAAATAAAAAAATATCCTTAAAAAAAAAGATGAAAGAGATTGATAAAGATTGAACTCTATAATTAAGTTTTGTAACATTGCGCCCAATTTTGCATTCGGGTGATGCAATAATTTTGACACCGCCTCATAATAATTCATCATCAGTTCGATACTGTGCCAAACATCAAGAATTCTGATCTTGGGCATGGGCATGTTTAATACTGCACGGATTAGGCACGTGATAATGATCACGATTTTCTCGGTGAATATCAAATGTGCAGTATCCGGGAAAAAAAATGAATAGCATTGTCGATTTTTTGAATCAAGAAATCAAACTAACTTTGTTATTACTTTGCGGAATATACTCTTTTGATTGATTGATATTGTCGATGTTAATGATGGTAAGTTTGAATATTTCTTTGCTTTACTTGCATAAGGCAGATAAAAGGATTCACTAAATAAGGCCTCACCTTTTATATGATTTGTAATGATTTAAAGGATTGATTTTTGGAATAAATCTTTGGAGAAATTACGTTATTATGATTCAGTCGGATCAGTTTATACAATTTCGACTTCCGAACTTAATTACGAATTACTATAATAAGTTTTGAGCAGACCCCGAAAGAGCTGACCGGAAATAAACAAGCCTTATTTTTTTTTCAGGGTCCCATTGAATCGATCTACAAGCGGGCTAGCTAATATAAATTATTAAGTATCGACCTGAAGTTTTTCAAACTTCAAAATGGTTTATGGGAATTCACTTTTTAGTTACTATAGTAGTAATAATAATAATACCATGGCACCACATCCACAACAATCTGTGTCGAAGAAAGGACCAAGAAAACCAGTACCGCGTGGTCCCTCGGGAAACGAATCTGTAAGAAATTCCGGATAGGATATGTTTCGTCCTTTGGCTCGCCGTTTTGGTTTTATTCCAACAACCACAATTAAATATAATAAATCTGAACACGAGAAATCATTCTACCCACATATGGCATATAAAATAATAAAAGCCAGAAGAATATTTCGCAAAATGTAGAACCAAACTCCTAAATGGCCATATAAAGACCGTACGAACGGTAGCTTGGAATTGCGACGGTCGAAAACTTGCAAGCGGTTCCGTTGATAAAACTGTTCGGTTATGGGAAGCGGATCAAGTAATGCAACGTATACATTTTGATTATTATTATTATTTTTTTTTATTATTTTGCTAATAATATTTCAAAATCATATTTTATAGGAAGACATAAAATATTCTATCAAGTTACTCGGTCACGAAGAAAGTGTGGATCAACTTTGTTGGAGTCCTCAATCGCCACACGAACTAGCGACAGCGTCAACCGATAAAACAGTTAGATTCTGGGATACTCGAGGTTTGTTGATATATGTTTCATTATGGTCACTCACGCATTCAATTATTATTATTACTATATCGATAATTTTTTTATCGTATAGATGTAAAACGATGTACCCATGTCGTGAAAACCGATGGAGAGAATATAAATATCAGCTGGAGCTGGGATGGCTCGATGGTTGCAGTTGGTGATAAGGTTGGTCATTCGTTTGGTTTGAGACGTTTTTTGTAGGATAGCTCCTTTATCGCTTATATTGGCGTAATGATATCCATAATTTTTAGAAATAAAAAGCATGCAAAGCTATCAATTTCTTTTATGCATCGCTCTTACTAACCTGATTCGAAAAATTTAAATAAAGGATGATAAAATTTCATTTATCGATCCGAGGCATAAACCGTCACCAGTTATAGTTAAAACTTATGCGGAAGGTGATGATGTAAGAGATGAGGTTGTGCCTTTTTTTTTTTATTATTATTCGGATTGATCACTCTTTTTTTCGATTGATTATTTATTCACGATTATCTTCTTTTATAAATAGATTAATGAAATTAGCTGGAATCATGATTGTTCATTGTTCTTTTTAACAACTGGTTCTGGAGCCATTAAAATATTGAAATGGCCTTCATTGCAGCCAGTTCACGTGTTGAGAGGTCATACTGCAAATTGTTATTGTATTGATTTTGATCCAAAGAGACGGTAAGCTGATTTTAATTTGATGTTTATGTTTGATGTGCATTTAATGCTTCAGATAATTAATTATATCACGTGTGCATATAAGATATGTAGCTGCAGGAGGAGCAGATGCTCTGGTTACATTGTGGGATCTTGAAGAATGTGTTTGTCTAAGATCATTTAAAGAATTAGAGTAAGTCAATTTAAATCTTTTGCTTTATGCAAATTAGATAATTTTAACGAAAAAAATTTTTTTTTTAATTTAATTTTTAATAGATTTCCGGTACGGACGATTAGTTTTACTTATGATGGAGTTTATTTAGCGGCAGCTTCCGAAGATGAACATATTATTGTTGTAAGTTTTAACCCGCCTATATCATTATTTTCGAAAATATATCCATCATTCAGTGAATTTATTATATATTATATAGTCTAATGTGGAGACGGGCAAGACTGTTTACAGAATTAAAACAATGGCCGCCACTAATTCTGTTGCATGGCACCCGAAAGGTTATCTGTTGGCGTTTGCTGGTGATGAAGAAGGAATTCAAGACCAAAAAAATTATATTGGTTTGAAAGTATTTGGTTTCAATGATTAGATGATATCCTACTCGGTAAGGATTAATTTTGTCTTAGTTCTTTGCATAATTTCTAATTTCTTTATAATGATTGGAAAATTCTTGGTGATACATTTTGTTGAATTAAGACGTTACAATTTAACCTATATATTAGGTACTTATTTATTATTCAGAATTCAATATTAATAAATCAACTCAAAAAGAAAAAAATAAATAAATAAAAAAATTAAAAGAAAAAATAAATAATGTATTCATTAAATAAAAATGTGCTCATCACCAAACAAAAGGAATAATAACCTTTCGATTTTTTGGGTATTCTTTGAATGATTCGTTATACCATTGAAAAGTTTTCCTTGCTCTTGGAAATAAATTCGCAGGAGTCATGATAGCAAATAATAATGCGGGTAAACTATACCAACAAGCAATTGCAAATCCAATCCATTCGATGGTTTCGCCAAGATAATTTGGACAACAAACATAATTAAATAATCCTTCATTTGGAATGAAATACGTTTTTTTTCTATTATTTTCAAAATCATCAACAAGTTTTGAATCTATAACTGATTTTTCATTTGATGAAATTTTGGAAGTATTTTCCTTTCTTAAATTAAATAAAATGTTATCGTGTTCAATATTTATCCACATTCCAATGAAAAATATTAACACCCCTAAAATAAATAATGGTTCCTGGCATCTTTCCTCAGTATAATTACCAAATACCGAAATCCATCTACCATTACTATATCCATTAATTACATTAAAGATCACAGCACTTAATATTGTTGTTAAATGGATTGAAGCAACATTTGGCGCTCTATAAGTATAAATTAATGTCCTATTAAAATAATGAATTAAATATAATGATGCGAGTATTTTTTGTGTCGTGGTATAAGAAGGAATTAAAGATTCATCATTATCATCGAATGGAGATGGGGTCAAGAAACTATACAGAAATGTTACAGGTGAGGCCAATTCCATTATAAACCATCCTAATTTTCCTGGAAAGTTAAAATATGTGACACCACTTGATCGAAATTTCCCTATTTAAATTTTTTTTTTTTTAAGGAAAAAAAAAATCTCAATGAAAGTTATATATGTATTTTTTTTTTTTTTTTTTTTAAAAAAAAAAAAAACACAACACAAAACACAAAAACCTCAATAGTTGTATATATTCATACCGTAAAATGCGTTTGCGTTGAAGAACCATAAATAGATAAAAGTTAAAATTGGAAAAAGGCAATATGCTCGTACAATGTTATTAAAAAAATCTATTTCATATTCTTTTGATATGATGAATGATTTAGGAATTAAAGCAGTCAAATTTCCAAGTAATTCAAAATTAATGTTATCCATATTGCGTAATCCCAGAATTTTTCTCGGTTGCGATATAATACATAAAAAATATATTTATTTCAATACGTTTATAATTATTAAACTTCGAACCCTTCTGATCCTTCCAAAGAAACATTATTTGACTTTTACGAGTTAGTGTGGAATAATATTACTCAAAAATTATTACAATTATTATGTGTAAAAACAAACATACTTTTGTAAAACATTGGATTTTTTCATGGTACAACGTGATCTAATTCTTCATCATGGGCATTATGATCGCACCTAACCTGTTAATATGTAATTGCGGAAATGTAATAATAAAAATCACAGCAAAATTGAAACAGATTAATGTAACAAGACAATCACAATATAGCATAAATTATAACATCGGCTTTAACTTAGCTGTTAGTATTTTTATATTTTATTGAAAGCATCGCAACTTGGTAAATTTATTCACGTGTTTTTTAATTTTGAATAGAAAATTAATAAAAATCATTTGTCATTTTTATTTAATGGCGCAACGTTATCGCGGATTTAATAGAAACTTTATTTACATTATAATAATCATAGGAACATTATTTAATATACATATTTATATATTTTATCTATTACATTAAAATAATCTACTACCGTAATTCTACGAGGACAATTGTACAACTCATATGACAAGACCAAAGATCAGAAAGCAATAAATAAATCAACTTACGAAGGTAAAGGCTTGTTGAATCGAGAAGCCAGACACCGATTATTGATCCGTAAGAGTAGTGCAGCAGAGAATTGATAGAATCTATCACACCTGTATGATAGATTCTGAAAATTTCAAAATCAGATCACACACATAGCGAAGGCAAAGATAAAACGCCAAACTATTTGAAGGCCAAATCCAAATCAAAAGAAAAAAATTTTCTTCTGATTAGACGCAATATAAAGGTTTGAAACTTTAAATGCGATTCTTATAAATCAAGATTATTGAAATATTAGAAGATCGTGCAAGAGGCATGACAGGCCTTGTGACTAATTTTATCGGTCTCGAGTACCAATATGATTGGTCCGTAAGGGAAGCATAGCTAATTCCACATCAAGAAGAAGCTGATCCCCTCACCAAGGTTACCGTCAAGCCTCCATACCTTCAGCTTGGTAGCGAAACACGGCGCACTGCCAGTCAGCTAGTTACCAGCTAGTAATTAAACCCACTCCCAGCTATGCCCCAGCTCACTCTCTTTCCCATTACCTATTATTTTATCTCCTTCCTCAGCCGTCCGTCTGCTATTTGATAAAAACAAAAAAAAATACACATATATATATTATTATTAAAAATAAAAAATAAATAAATATCACTTCCTTGCTGGTGTCTCTAAATAACATAAAAAAAATATTAAACGTTAATAAAGTCCGTCACTAAGTATTTTTTTTTTTTTTTTTTGTCTTGTCTATGAGTTGTTTGTGTCATGGGAAGAAAAGAAGCCTCGACGCGTTTGATACGTAATACATATAAATAGCTGACGTTTATGAAGATGTCGATCTCCAGAAAATTTTCGAAACGCGTGTAAGTATTTTTGCTGTCTTGTATAAACTTAAAAAATTTTTAAAGCTTTTTTCAATTATTAATAATGTACAGTCAACCCTTTCTAAATGCACCCTCTCGGGACCATAGTGAAAATTTTAAAAATGTGAATTTAAAGAGGGTGTGCATTTAAAGAGAAAATTTCTATATGAATTCTATATGCTTGGGACTGAACGAAACGTGCATTTAGAGAGAAAATATATAGTGTGTGCATTTAGAGAGGGTTAACTGTATATATATTTTACTATTTTTCATTAAGATTTATATTTTAAACTATTATAAAAATAATTTCAAAATATCGCTGATATTTTAAAAATCCCTTCATATATAATTTAGTAATTATTTTATGATCTTTTTAGAATCAGATGCATTTGTCTAAAATTTACATTAGCTATAAAATATATTATTAATTTATAATTTTTAAGTATCAATAACATAAAATATATATTTATATAAGAAATATCTTTATTATATAAAGTAATATTTATACATTTTGTAGTATGAAGTATTATATATTATGATTACAATTCTCCTTTTTGAAATTCATAATTCAAATTATATATTTTGTTAAAATGAATATATAACTTAATGATATTATTTTTGTTATATTCAATTTTAAAATACTTAATACTATTCAATTGATTTTCTAATATTTTTTTTAAATATAACTTATATAATTTTTTTATAATTGTCTCATTATTTTAATCTATAAGCATGTATTTAGATAATTAATATGAAAAAATTCTTAATATATTTGATTAATTTTATTTAAAAATTACAAGATGATTTATAATAAATAAAGTATCATTTAAAATAGATTTCAAAATTTTATTATAAATAATATTGAATTAATTAAATATTATACAATTAATCAGATTTAATTAGATTGATCAATTATTATTTTAAAAAAAAGCTTTTTTTTTTTATAAGCGTCTTCAGTCTTTCTCCTTTTAAAATTTAGCTTAAATAGCTTAAATAGCTTTTATTTGTTTGAAGCATAGCTGAGAACATCTTTAGTTAAACTTATTTTAATGTAATATCTATTTATCTACATATGTGATCAACTAATAAGATATATTATTATATTGTTACATGATTTGATTTTCAGATTGATTACCTTAAATTTATATAAAAAATTTAATAAGTTGTTTTTCTGTGATAAATTTAAATATTATAAATTAATACTTTAGATATTTAACGCTTTTGTTACCTAGTTTTAGAAAGTATATGTAAATTTTTTTATTCTTTTATCTTGAGAATATTACTAATATTTCTTTTACTTTATTTCTTTAGAGAATGACTAAATTTTAGCTTAAAATATAAAAAATAAATTAAGGATTTTTCAATTTTTTATCATTAGAAATATCATTAATATTTCTTTTCTTTTTTTCTTTAAGGAATACCTTTTTAGAATTAGATTTTAACTTGAAATATAAAAGGTAAGTTGATGATTTTTTTTTGTTATTAAAAATATTATTAATGTTTTTTTTTTTTTTTTCTTTAAGGAACATTTTCTTAAACTTGAATTTTAACTTGAAATATGAAAAGTAAGTTTAAGATTTTTTTTTGTTATTAAAAATGTTATTAATGTTCTTTTTTTTTAAAAAAAAATACTTGTTTAGATTTTAGCTTAAAATATAAAAGGTAAGTTAGAAAAAGAAAATTTTTTTTTTTGTTACTGAGAATATTATTAATTCTTTTTTTCTTTAAACAATTTTTTCTTAAACCTGAATTTTAGCTTATAATATAAAGATAAGTTAGAAAGAAGTGATTTTTCTTCTTTTTTATCATTAAAAATATCATTAATATTTCTTTTCTTTTTTTCTTTTGAGATTTCTTTCTAGATCTGATTAAAAAAATATTTAAATAATATAATTTATGATTTAGTTTTTTTTCTATTTCTTTATAGAAAGTTTTTAATATTATAATTAAAGATATTATTAAATTTTATAATATAAAATATTTAATATTTAATTTAATAAAAATAACTTTATTTTAAATAATATTATATAATTTAATTTTTTATTTGACTAACTTTTTGATTTATTAATAAAGTTAATGCATAATATGCATTCTGCTTTAATGGATTTTAAATATGTGATATATCTCTTTATAAAAATATTATTACTGTTTTAGTATTAATCCTTTAGCTATTTTTCTTTAAAAAATAATAGAGATTTATATTATAAATATTTTTTTATCAAATTTATTATTTGAGATCCTTTATTTATTTTATTTTTATCTTTATTATACTTATTTTATTCTGATTTAATATAAAATAATGTTGCCTTTTAATTTGTAAAATAGTATTAAAATAATTAATTAAGAACTCAGTTTAATTATAAAAAAAACATTTATTATTTATTATTATTAAAAATAGGTTATATTATATTATATCTACTAGTAGTTGATTTATTGATTACTTTAAATAAAATTTTATATTATTTACTTTTGAATATTGTAATTTTTATTTAAATAAATCAACAAATTTATTAAGCGTAAATTTAATATAATCTGTTACTATAAATGATATAAAATTTTATTATCCAAATTATTAGCAATATACTATATCAGATACATAATTATTATATTATTTTTATTCTATTCTAAATAAATTATTAGCATGAATAATTATCCTATTTTTACTTAATTCATGTTTTTCAAAATAATAATAACTAATAAAATTGTTACATTAGTATTTGTTTTAATATTTTCTTTTTCTAAAATCAAATAATTTATTATATTCCTCTGAAATTATACAATATAATTTTATTATAACATTGTTTATTTTCAGATAATTTAATTTTTTAATTAAAAGTTTAATTTTTTATGATAAAATTGAATTAATATGACTTTATATGATCACTTATTATTTAATATATGTTAAGTACATTATAAACTGATTTATCAATATGTTTTTTATATCAGTTTACTATATCAAGTATAACAAATAAAAAATGATATATTTTAATAATTTTTGTAAAAAATAATAGCAAATAAAGGTGCTGAAAAAATTGTTGTTAAAAATTTTTGCTATACTAGATTGAATAATGTATACTTATAATTAAAATTTATTTAA